TATTTGAATATAACAATGATTTGAATAGAGGGTTTTCCTGATACTCAAGAAACCAATAACAAAATGTTAGGTGATGATTGGCTTCTACCAAAGAAATTAACAGGAGTGTGCATTGAGCGGTTCATAATTGATTTTGACAAAAATCAAACCGAATTTGTTTTAAATGATTTGATTTTTAAACCGAACCGGTTTTCTTTTTTTAAAATCGGTTTTAATTTTCCAAACTGGTTTGAAATTAATTCCAAAATCGGTTTTAAACTGAATTCAAAACCGGTTTTAAATCAAAACCGGTTATTAAGTTAAAAACCAGTTTTATAACAAATTTAAAATTAATTTATGATGAATAGTGCTATCCGATTTGAGCCATTGAAGATCTATTTGGGATCTAATTGATCTGGTTGAGAAAAGAGAGGTTTTTTGTTTTTGTTTGAAATTTTGGGGAATTAAAAACAAACAGCACAAACAAAATAAAAACCATGTAACCCAAAAAAAAAAACCCCAACAAAACTGCACCCAACAACCTATTGTTTAATGATGAGATGAGCACACTCCGAAGGAGGTTCTGTTAGAACATGGGTTCAAGCTTCCTAAATCTTGCTTAATTGGCACAAAAGCCATAGTTCAAATTGCTTTTTACTGTAAGCATCATATTTATGGATCAAAATCTATCCGAAAGAAAATTGGCATGAGGTTTGGAAAAAGAAAAGGAAAATCTATACTAAAATTGAGTGTGTTAATAATACACCATAAAATTTAGCATTAGGCAAGTGCTACTAATACAAAAAAAAAAAAAAAAAAACCACAACGAAAATTGAAGTTTGGAGAAAGTAGAGCAGTTTGGTTATGGATAACCAATTATTTTTATGGTTTGGTAAATAACCGGTTTATAAAATAAAATGCAGTTTTGTATGAAACCGATTTTTTAATTGTGGTACAGTTTGGTTCTTTTGGACATTTTGAACACTTCTAGAAATTAATTTATTGTAAAAAATAATAAGATAATTTTGCTGCTTATTCGTCAATATAATTGGGTTAAAGGCGTCCAAGCAAAGACAAATCACGTGTTTAGCATGATATCTATTTCTTAATTTGGCTTTTTCTTCATAGTAGACGAAATAATATTTTAGATCAAAAGTAATTTTAATTTTGAAATGTCTCTAGAAAAAATTTAATAGATTAATTATTTCTGAGCCAGTGCCCTCCTTATGTATAAAAAAGAGAGAGGATATATTAAAAGAAATTAGATATAAATTACTTAAAAATAACTCTAAATAAAAGCATTATATTCAATTCATGAGAAAATATTTTATTTTATAACCCTGCTTTAGTCTGTTTCTTTTTCTTTTTCTTTTTTCTTAATATAAAAAATCAATTTAACTCAATTCCCAAATCCTAACTATTGCGTAGAAATGCAATAAAACACAAGCTGGGCCATGCTCGCTGGTACTAAATATATTAAGCAGCCTTTATGCTGATAATACATTCGAGATTTAGGTCCAGTCACTTGTTTCCTCAACATGGGTCTGTAATTAATGTTTCATGGTTGGGCCGTGATGGAGACACCGAGCCTAGTTAAATTTTGGATTGGGCTTAACTTTGTTAAAGCAAACAATAATGGCTCGCTGATGGCCTAGATTGGTTTAGGCTCAATGCCCTATAACTTAAAGAAGCTTGCTTCAATCCACAATCCCAACTTCAAACAAGAATAAAGTGAAAAATTAATAATAATTAACGGATTTTTTATTTTTTTATTAATATTAATAACTCAATTAATAAATCAAAAAAGTAAGCTGATGATAACTTTGAGTTAAAATTTTAGCAATATATATATTTGTTATGCAAAAAAATTGTTTGCTATTTTCGGAATGGATGACATGAATCTAAAAGATATTTGGTACCCTTGAGCTGAATCCTAAAACTTTCAACTCATTAATTTATTTGGGAAAAAAGTATTTAATGTTACTTTAAATAAATTTATCTAATGTGAAACGACGTCATTTTGGGATTAACAAATTAGAATGATAAAGACTATTATAACCCTGAAATAAATTAAAACTACAAAAATACCATGATTTCTGCTCCAAAACGACGTCGTTTCGATGAACATTAGATGAAGTTATCTAAAGTAACTTTAGAAAAAATAAACCCAATTTATTTTCATAAAGAAAAAAAAAATTAAGTAAATAAACCCAAAAATCATCATTATTATTAAATGCTTTCGGCACATACAGTTATTGGTTGAGCTTTAATCCCATGGTTCCTGTTTATCCTTCTCATCGATCCAATGCTAAGAACAACATATCGGTCACTACTAATGAATGATTATGACATATACCTATAAAATTGAATATAACTCATGCTGAATCACAAATCATCTGAAAGAATATGCACCCTTGGAATCATTAAAAGGGTGGATCATAATCCAGGGCACAAAATTGACCCTAGCGCAGACATTAACCTTTCGTTTTTCCATTAAATATTATTATCCTCAGTTGAAGATCGCATGGCATGATGATGGCATAGACCGTAGGGGTTGTGGTGGACTAACAGGAAAAAAAAAAAAAAAGAGTACCACACACTTGTCCTTGACCAAATCAAATTTCATCTAATTATCGTTTCAACAGCACAAAGAAAATGGAAGGTAACCTACCAAGCAGTGATCAATACCTTATTAAGTTCAATTCAGTTCACCGTCAAGGAATTGTTTTTTTTTTTTTTATATATATTTTTCCTTCCTTCTCTTTGTAGGATATGACCTCCAATAGGTAATCAAATTAAATACGAGCACAAATTGTTTTCTCTGAATGTTTGAAGCTATGATTCTGGTTTAGTTTTAGGCCTAATCCGGTTTAGTATATGTTGGAACTCGTGGGGAGTGATAAAATATCTTTATCACGAACTCATGATTAGTCTTATGAAAAGAATTAAAGGTGGTGATATTGCGTGATGTTTCTAATAGCTATCTAAAACATGTGCAAGTTGAAACCATGCATGGTTCATTGACATTTAGAACTTATATTACCAATTGCAGGCAATGCAATCAAACAGACAATTTTTTATTATTTTATTTTTTTCTCTCCAAAATTCATAAAATTGGGGAAATTAATGTGAAAAGTTTGAATAGAAATGAGAAACGCATGATTTTGGCTTGAAAAGTTGATGATGGGTCTATGTACTAGACCCACTAACTCCATTTCCATGTGTTTCAAAGCTAAGACTTGGCCTTTGCATTTCGGATTCTGAACATAAAATATAAATATCCAACCTCCACCGCACCATACCAGTGCTGTTTCCACCACCGTTGACTCAATAGCCTGAGGCTGAGACCATGACACGTGGAAATCATGATCTGATGCTCCCTAATTTTACATTCATGCATCATCTATGTATAATTATTTTTTTATATATAATATTTTTTTAAATCAACTAGTGACATTTTTCTTGGACGAAAAAGTTGTGTATCAAGGAAGAAATACCTATCTAATGATGTTTTTCATAAATAATATACTTCACTATTTGTAAACAAACTTGTAAAGCTGACACCGATTTGAAATTTTAAGAATTTAATATGACATTGATTTCGAAATTTCATCATCCGTGATATTATTTATTTCGTCTCACATATACTTTCCCGTAGCACTAACATATAAAAATAATTCCTTTATTTGAAAATATTTGTCTAAAACAAACATTTCTTAACTTTAATCTATTCTTATATAATAAAACAAACATTTTTATTATTTCCTGTTCTTCTTTTCTCATATTCAAAAACACTTTTTTTTTTCTTCTAACATTTCTTTTAATACAATCAAATTAACAAATATAATTATACATCAAATATATTGTTTAAATTTCTTATTTATTACTTAATTCCTATTAAATGTTTTATTTTATATTTATTTTAAATTTCGATTTCCTATTTTTAAGTGATAGCGTTTTTAAATCTTAAATGAGATGATCAAGGATCATATCTAAACTAATTAGTCAACCATCCAATCCTGTATATTAAATTGAAGTACGGTCTGTTATGACTAACTTTATCTATCAAGCTACTTTTATTTAAAACATGACACATGTGATTTTTAACATTGGTTATTTTAAATTTAAAGTTAATTTTTTTTAAATTTTTTATTTAAATATATATTTTAAGATTCTATTTGAATTATATACAATTATACATATAAATCTTATAATTATAAATACTTAAAATATTTTCCTTTTGATTTATATTTTTAATTTTTTAATCAAATTAAAATTACTTATGAAATGCACAATATAATTATTAAGTATATATAAAATATATATCGGCCATTAAATCTGTATATTTTTCACGTAAATGTTAAGACATTTAACTTAATGAACTCGGCCTAATAGTCAATGATTATATAGATTTGAATTTTATTGGATATGCAACAAATGGAAATGCATTAATAAAAAAAGGAAAAATATATAATTTGGTCAAAAAAATGTAAATACTTTATTAATTACTTATTTAAATCATGTTAAGATAAACATCAAAGAACAAATGTATAAATATAATTTACTTTTTTATTTAAAAATATCTCCAAACATTTATTAATTTCTTATTTTATAATTCTTAAAGCATTTACTATTGTTATTTATTTTGATAGCAAAACCACCCCATGCATGATAATAACAATTGTTGTTTCCATGTAATTGCAAACAAAGTCCTAAGTACAAAGTGCGCAAATAAATACATCATCGCATGTTTTGTATTTAATATTAAGTACTACTGTGAAATGAATTTAATTGTTGATAAATAAATTAATGATTATTTTATAAAAAGTGATATGATAATTCCCTCATTCCGAATACTAGTTTTGCTAACAAAATTATGTGACCACTAACTTATAGTATTTTCTTTTTCAAAAAAGGAGAAAATAAAGAAAATGAAGGAAGGAGCGAGTCAACCCAAATAACCGTGGACTCTCACGGTTCCACTTACACCACACCACACTATATATATATACCTCCAACATTTCAAACTTCAGGAAGAAGAGTCTTCCACGGAACTCAACTCATCGGAGATAAAGAGAGAGAGAGAGAGAGAGAGAGAGAGAGCCATGGTTGACGCTTCATCCTCGGACTCGCCGAAGCGCCAAACGAACGGCTTCCTCGTAACCATAACGGCTATCATGGCTCTGTTGGCAAAGCGAGCCACGCGTCTAACGGGGAAGCCAAAGGCGGCGGCGGCGGTGACGAAGCCGATCAAAGACGATGACTGGAAAATCGATCTGAGGACGCCGAAGTCGCCGCTGGCCCGGCCGAAGAAGCTACTGAGCAACATAAGCAGCAAAGCTCTGTTGCCGTTTGCTAACAACCACAAAAAGAAGCACAGCGAGGCGGAGGCGATGGCGGAGGGGTGGGGACACGGCGGCGTGTGGCAGAAGGAGATATTAATGGGCGGAAAGTGTGAGCCGTTGGATTTCTCCGGCGTAATTTACTACGATAGCACCGGGAATCAGATGAGCGATGTCCCTCTCAGGTCGCCACGCGCCAGTCCCATGCCCGGTTATCTCACTCGCCTTCGACATCAAACCACCCTCTGATTAATTACTAATTAGCACACACAGGCACGGGATTTGTGATCGCACGTGTCTCTTATTTTTATTTTCTGGTTTTGTATTTGAATTTGATACTATTCAATGTTCTAGGTTATATGTATTTTGCTGCTCAAAATATTTGTATAGAGTTTGTGAAGTTATGAGCCTCCATATGGTTCTGTGAAAGTATAAGGCAAAATTTCAAAAATTCTCCTATGAGTGTTTTTTTTAGAAATATTTCATCGGTTCATCACTTCGCAATTATCATTTATCTCCTCACAATTTTTTTGAATTATTAACATCTTAATTTAGATTTTTTTTATCACTTATTCTTCTTACTTAAAGTTTTTTTTATCACTTACCCTCTCATTGGGATAAATGATAAACAAAATTTTAAGTCAGGAGATAAATAATTCAAAATTTTAAAGAGGAAGTAAATGATTATGAAAAAAATTATAGGGAAATTTATGAAGTTTTCCCAAAATATAACTAGACTTTCTCTCCATCGTTATTTTGATTTTTTCTAATGTGTTTTCTATAATATTGATTTTTTGTCTTAGTCTAAGGGTTTAGTGCCATCCAATGTGCGTGCGTGAGAGACAGTTTGGCGTTTGTATATTTAGATTCAATTAATGTTCACTGAGTCATACTTGCACTCACTCACTCAAGTTTGGGAAAGTTTGTTTTGCAGTGTCCACTAAACGTGGCTGTAATTCTCACACTTGATTTGGAGATATCATATACAACCTTACCCGATGGCTTAAAAACAAGTAGATAGTGTTTTAATGTAATTATTTTTTTTCTTTTTTGTGGCGATATTTTAGAGGGATAGAGAGAGAGAGAAAGACTAGCAACAATTATTCCCTCTTTGGATAAATTAAAGAAAATTATCATATAATGTAATATTAAGTCTTCGAGTGAGTAAGTTTCAAATCATTCCTTTATTTAGTTTTTATTTTTATAGATTTGAATGGTCTATATAAATTCATAGAGCGATTCCTCAAGCAAAGACAATTGAAAGGAATAAAAAAAGTATTGGATTGAGTCCGATCCGAATTTGATTCTCCTACAATGGCACAGCGTCATTTAATTTAAAAAGCTAAAAGCAAGTGAATGGAAGATTCCAAACTTGTCGAACCGCTACGACCATCTTTTTCGTAAAATAATTATTTTATGTATTAAAGATAAAATAATTGAGTTCACTGTCTTTTTCTTTTCATTTTTCTCTCCTAAAAATAGTAGATTTCACTATCTTATCTCTATCGTATAAAATAATTATCTTATGCAATACAAAATAATTATTTCTCATATATATATATATATATATATATATTAATTAATTATTAATTACATTACAAATGACAACTATTGATTTCCATTCATCATCGACTAAGATGAGAAGTAAGACTTAAAAATCTTATTCTGGAGTCACAAGAACACTCCTATATATATATATATATATATATATATATATATATATATATATATATATATATATATTCATTTCACATAGACAAAAGACGTTTTTTTTCTTCTTCTTTTTAAAACTTTCATGGGATCCACGCTTTTTTGTTAGTGCTAGGTTAAAAATTTTCTGCAACATAAGAAAGTTTTAACGACTTAGAGAATCGCCATAGTATTAGGCGATTATGAACCTCACCCCGTGCGGGATGAATGCTCTGCAATTCATAAGGGAACACGAGCCCGCCATTCCTATTAGGGAATGGAGTAAGGGCTCTACCGAATAGTAGCTAGTAGCTAACAGGGCGACTATTCCCGCAGAGGGAATAGAGTAAGCCCTGACCGATCTATAACTACAAGCCCGTATTCCCATTAGGGAAGAGGGCGATCTAACTACTGCTTACTTACCTTATCCATCAAATTTTCTGCAACATAAGAAAGTTTTAATGATATATATATATATATATATATATATATATATATATATATATATATATATATATAGGGATACATGAATATTATGTCACAGGATTGAGCTTCCATCATGTCACCCTCACAATGCAAGTGGGTCCCACCAGTTTTTATAAAAAAACAAAAAATAAAAAAGTGGTACACAGGTATCGATGTGTTTGCAGGAAACAACAGTGGATTTTCAATAACATAACCAAACGATTTCCCATATATATATATATAGATATAGGTAGGATCCTTTGACATTTGTAAAGAATCTTGAGATACACCACCCCAAAAGCTAGCTCAAAGGGTGGGAGTGCCCAAGGTCTTATAAACTCCACATTAGTTGCACATACAACCAATGTGAGACTATATATCTCAACACGCCCCCTCACACGAGAGCCCATTGGGCTTGAAGAGTGGACAATGCAACAGGCCCAGCCTACCTGTGCTAAGAAACGCCACAAGAGAAAGTGGGGGCGGCGAGACTCTGATACCATGTAAAGAACCTTGAGATACACCACCCAAAAACTAGCTCAAAGGGTGGGAGTGCCCAAGGTCTTATAAACCCCACATTAGTTGCACATACAACCAATGTGGGACTATATGTCTCAACAACATTAGTGTCAAATTTTAAATTTGATATCTCATAAAACGACTCTGCTTTGTAAGCATGTGATACCATTGATCTTTTTTGATCTAATGGCTAACAAATGAGGTGTCAAAGGATCCTATCTCATATATATATATATATATATATATATATATATATATATATATATATATATATATATATATATATATATATATATATATAAAGATTCGTTTACAATATTTTTTTACAAATTACACTAAGTCTGATCAGTCATACACTCTTGATTGAAGTATGACCGATCATACATAGTATAATTTGTAAATATAATCTTCCCTATATATATATATATATATATATATATATAGGGTTTTATAAAAGTTATGTTGTAAGAAAAGTGATTGTGTAATGTTATAGAGATTTGTTTTGCGTGCCGTAATTTTCATTTTTCTTCAAAAAGTGTGGGTTCCACAAAATATTTTTTTTTTTTTTTTGATAACATCCACAAAATATTTTGTGTGTAGAAAAGTTTGTTGTGTTATGTTAAATGACAAATGCAAACTCCATATATTTATGGAAATAAAACTTTTTATGCAATAACAAAAGGCTATTCTCGTGTCTCTCTCTCTAGTCTCCGCATCAGCAAAAAAAATTTCTTTTCAAAGTGGATCCCATCTTTTTCTTCTCTTTGCTTGCACGTCCCCAACTTTGCAGCAACAGTAAAAATTGCAAACATATATATATATATATATATATATATACGAGGTTTGATTTTTTCATGTTGGATAAGAATTAAATTTTCATGATGTGACACAATTAGTGGTGGGTTTCACATTTATTTAAAAGAGAAAAAGAAAAAAAAAATGTTTTGCACGCAAATTGAAGGGTCACAACATGAGAATTGAATTCTCATGCAACACGAGAAAATATTTTTTCTATATATATATATATATGGGCTTGTCTATTCTCATGTCATAGAAAATGAGTTATTACATAGTTGGAGGGGATGCACTACTTAAAAAAAATAAAATAAGCGAAACTGCGGAAAAGTAGCAGAAACATTTTTTACTCAACAATGCTATTATCAGCACCTTTGTTTATTTTATTTTTAAGAAAAGGAGACTGGTAAAAGAAAGAACACAAGTTAATATAAGTTATTCTATTTTTAAAACGATTTATGTTCTGAACTGAACACGAAAGCAAAACTTTGTTTTCTCCGGGTCCATGACATGTTTGAGGATTTGAAGCCAACAAATTCAACTCTTTAATATTTACTTATTATATTTTGCTGGAGTTTATGACAAATTCTTGTGATTGTTTTGCTGACTTTTCAAATAAACTTCAGTTTAAGATACAAAACGTTGTTAATATATATATGACTTTAATGTTTGTAGAGTGAATGTAGATAAGTTATTTATATTCGCTCCCAAAACGATGTCGTTTTAAGTTAAAAAATTATAATAAAAAAACTATTATAACATTGAAATAAATTATAATTACAAAAATATCTTGATTTTCATCTCAAAAAGATGTCGTTTTGGGCTCACTGTAGATAAGTTATCTACATTGAATATATATATATATATATATATATATATATATATATATGGAAAAAATATTTCTCCGGCAACTTGAGATAAGGTTATCTCCGGCCACCCCAAAACTACGTCGTTTTATTTATTTATTTCTTTTTATTAATTGATCCACTTTTGAATGGTTATGATTCCCTTTTTCTCTCTCTTCCTTTATCATTATTGATCCATCTTTGTACGGTTATAATTTAGTAGCCGAAGATAAAATTATCTCCGACAGCTTGAGAAATGATAAGTCCTATATATATATGTATATTATTTTGTTTAAACTTCGGTTTGTTATTCTATTTTGAACCATAGATTTTTATTTTATGTTGAATGAGTCCAATTTTATCTAAAACACAAGAGTGCCTCATTATATTATATTTTTAGTGTGATGAAATGTAAAGAGACTTATAAAACTCCGTATTACCAGAGTGGAGAAAATTGAAAACCTTAGTTGAATAGTATAAGTCTCGTTATTTTAGACATTTAGTTAATCAACAATAATGATATATAAAATGACATATCTGTGTATGATTTTAAAATTAACTATAACATACAAGCATGTCAGGTTAAGGCCATATTAAATATATAAATGCTAGAGAGAACAAAACCTCATACTTTTTTTTGTGTCTACTTTTGCGTTTACGATAAGTATACCGTTCGTTCTACTTTTGCGTTCACGAGGATTAATGCACCAAGTACTAGTTTAACTATTTCCCTTAAGTTGAAAAATAAAATTGTTTTGGTTTGTGAAAGTAATTGAGTGTTTAGAATTTCAAAAGAGAATTTAAAAACAATTAATTTTTAACGCATGCAAGAAAAGATCAAGAACGCGAGAAAGTATTGATGAAAAATTTATAAAAAGGATGTGTAGCCAGAATACACTTCACATCCGATCCTCCCTTATATTCCTATATTGTATTTTATAATTAATTAATTCGTTTGCTCAGACAATTCATTATTTTCCTATAAAATAGTTGAACCATAATGTCTTAGTGATTTCAACCCTTTAACCCAATCAGAATTCTAATGTCTTAGTAATCCCTCTTGAATTAAGCATTAAGCAAATGAATTATGAGTCTGCAATTTATGTAACCCTATGTCTAGATCATACACAAATTATTATTCTACCCTTGTCCAGATTAAAACCTCAATATGTC